TACTTGCTGTGAGGGTGCCAGAGCCCTGGCGCAGGCTGCCCAGAGAGGCTGTGGAGGCTCCTTCTCTGGAGATGTCCAACCCGCCTGGATGCCACCCTGTGCCCCGTGCTCTGGGTGTCCCTGCTGGAGCAGGGGCTGCACTGGGTGATCCCTGGAGGTCCCTGCCACCCTCAGCCGTTCTGGGATTCTGGGAAATGGGTACAGGATGCTCAGGAACAAGGAAGTTGCTCTTCAAAGATGGGGAGAACGGTACCACAGCTTGATACCCGTCACCAACAACGGGAAAGCCACGTGGCTGTGTATGCCAAGGGACATATCTGATGTCCCAGGCCAGTTGCATGCTAGTTCCTTCACCAAAAAAAAAAAAAAAAAAAAAAAAAAAAAAAAAAAAGAGAAAAAAAAAAAAAAAAAAAAGAGAGAGAGAAGAAAAAAAAATCAAGAGTCCTTATACAAAAAGATTATTTCTCCATTTTAAAAGGCATAGTACATGCCAGGAAAGGAATAGGCCTATACACTGAAAAGAAACTTATGATAAAATATCCAAAAAATCTCTACTTTTGAGAAGTACAGATATTTATTATAAAACTGAACAGGAGATAGAACTGCCACTAAATTTCATTTTGTACCATGTTGTTTCCAAACTTTAAGCCTCATTTTCAAATACAAGCACGGCTACAGAAAGCCCTTAATATTTTCACTATCATAAAAATCACAAATAGTCACCAATCATACTGCGTTTTTCAAAAACAGCTTGGCCTTCTCTACAGTAAGCAATCATATTTTGCCTTAGGCAATGTAGTTTACCTCAAATTATTACAGAATCATCTAAAAAGATTCGTTTTTCTATTAAAATGATGAATGAGCTAAATGAGGTATGTAATAAATACTGCAGATTTGTAAACAGACTTCTCTCTTGAGAACTAATGCCTTAACTCATTTAGTAATTTCTTCCCTCTGGTATCTTCTAGTGAAGTCATCCTTAAAATATGGTTAGCACAGGACTGTTTGGAAAGAGCAAGAAGGGTCAGGATATAATCTGCTTATGGAAAATAGGGGACCTCCTCTTGACAAAGATAATGAATTGAGGACAGGAAGAATAAATGAAATACTAAAGTATAGGTCATCGCTCGTACACGGAACTCGGACCAGCCACGCATGGACGATAGGAAAAACACCTGAACAGTTGAGACACAGAAGAGGGAAACACTATATGTTTTCACTTATGACATTAGGCTAAATTTATTCCTAATGCAACTCAACGCACTTCAGCTCTAATATATCAAGGAATGTATTTTGTCTATTGATTTCACTGCTTAGAAAAGTAAAAGAAGAATTATCCATCTCAAATGTGATTCTGCTAGCAAAAATACCCAATTATTGGATTACCACATTCACCTAAGGTGCAAAAACTGCTTTTTAATATAAGGATACTTCTTCCCAATTGATTTTTTTTGAACACAGTATTTATTAATAGACATTCTTGTGTAGAAAATAATTTAAAACAACAGAAAAAATGCGGCAACAACAGATTTCATTCTCTAACAGGTACTTCAGTGGAAGTCTGGACAATACATACGAAAATATATATAATTGTATTAGCATGGATACAGATTTCTAATGATGGCAATAATCAAATTTTAATGTTATGGTTAGAGCAAATGAACAGAACAATATTTCTCTGCCTCTTCAAAGGGAAATGAGACTTTAATGTCATTGGCAGCTCAATAAAACCATTTTCTAACATACAGGGCCTTAATGACAGCTCATTTCAGTCCAGACAGTGAAGCAAATACGTTAACAGTAAACTCCAGGTCATTATGAGGAGATGAAAATACAACAGACCTTCTGCTTTGTGGATAAGACATCGATTTTTTACTCTACATTCTCTATGTCTCACCCCAACTCTCATAATGACTCAACTGATGGAACGTCAATAAGCTGTTTATGGTAAAGTTACCCCATCTAAAGCCACTCAACAGGACTATATTCAACTGAACTACCTACGGTTTTCAGATGTGCAGCAAGATCACCCACAAGATACAGCAAAGGAGAACAGGTCTGATGTCTGCATGAAGAAGGCATAGTACAAGTGTTCAGCATACAGACACCTCAACTGCATCAGTCTTCACCAAAGATCACACCAATGCCACTGAAATATGGCCTGAAATAAAAGACTTAACTCTTTATGAAGCCCTTCTTCAAGAATGGGCAGAGTAAATAAAATACTACAGTGACAGAAACAGATCGAAAAGAGTTGAAGAAATTCCTCACCAGCAAAGCTGCCCAAGCTGTACCTTTTAAGTATGAGAAAGCTTTATTCAATACAAGTCACATCTGTCTTTTCCCTCACTGCTGCCAAAAGGATAGTCCCACTCCCTCTTTATCCCTTACTTGTCCCTTACACCTAATACGGATGTCTGTGTGACCCTTAAAATAGCTGCTTCACAGAACTAGCCAGATGGGGAAAAAATATATATAAATTTTCACAGGGATAGCAAGCCAAGTGAGGTCATTTCAGCATCAAATTGCTGTATCACTGCAGTGGGAGAGCAGGATCCCCCAGCCAGAGACCGGGCTGAGACACCGAAGAAGAGACAAGACCCCAAAGCTCTCGGGTGCCCTGGATGTCCCCGGCATCGCATCTCCAGGGCCACAGCCACACGCTGCAGGAAGCAAAGCGAGGCCACGACTCAGTAGCTACTGCAAGCCAGTGACTTCTGAAGACTTGACTGAAGGAACCGAAAGCAGCTAGGTTTATTTCTGCTGAATATATATATATATATTTGGAAAATCAACAATTTATAACAAATCCTCATGCTTGCGGTGACAGCCGATTCCTACAGCTCTGATGAGAGTCTAGAAATCTTACTCTCAGACCTAATTTCTACCTTGGTCCGGACTCCAGAATTACTGTTTTGCAGAGCTCTGCATCTCCCCTAAACTCATTTTAAGAAAAGTTGACATTACATTAGCCACGTTCCAGTCCACTTGCAGTGAGGGAGTTTTGCTAAGAGCTTACACAGCAGTAAGTAGTTCAGCTATCAGAAGCTCATCCATCATCTTTGAGTTTCTTTCAGACTTGGTGTGAATTTAATGTTGTTATTAGCAATACCATCAATTTCTTCCCTAATGTTCTTCTACCAATATCTGTTTGAAGAGACCTCTGCCAACAAAAGTTCCACCAGAGAACTTCCATGAGTTCTTCCACCTTGAATAGATATACTAGGACAATTCATTTACAGTGTCCTTTCCTGTAGTGGCTTTTTAGGTCTTCTGTCCACTGCTGTTCCTCCCTAATCAAGCACAGGTCCAAACAGTCTTTGGTAGGACTCCTGTCCCAGGGTTTGCATGCAGAGGTGCCCGTGTATGCACATCTGTATGTTAGTCTTTATACCTTTTCTTAATTGCACTTCCACCCCTTTTTTTTTTTTTTTTTGTCAAACTGTGTTTCTGAGTTTTTCCTTTTCTTACATTTAGTCTACCAGGTGACATGATCTTCCCAAGTCTGATTGCTTGAAAATCAATTTTTTTTTTCTTAAAGGAATGCCTCCTTTGCCTTCCCTTGCTGTTCAAGCTCTGTTGACTTCTTTTAGGTTTCTTATTTTTTCTAGTAATGTTTTCTTAAATTGATAAAGTGATAAATGATGTCTTTCTGTAGCTCTTCTTGCCATCCGCAAAGCTGCTACTCTTTTGGCTGCCTGTTTCAGCCTCATTTTATCAAGGTGAAATTGTTTTTTAAAGAGTTAAAGCTCACTTTTGATATGTTAACACTCGGAAGCTTCTTCTCTCTGAAACTACAACAAGCAGCTGGTGCTAAAATGTTTTAAGAATGAGAAACATTTACTTAAATTTAACAGCTTCATGTCTGCTTATTTTAAAAATGAACTAGTAGTCTTATAAAAAAAAGTTTTTCTTCCTTCCTCACCATAATATTAACATTTACTGTGCACTGTTTAAAAAGTGAAGGAGCAGCAAAGAAGTTACCTCTGCAGATAACACTAGTGATGTTTCAGAAACAATATTAAAAAATGCTCCTCCACAAAGAAGCTCATAGGCCAGATAAATCTAGAGTATGTAAAATACCAACCTCCTGAAGCAATTACCTAACACATGAGATGTTGTCAAGTTTTATAGGCTCAGAAAGCACCAAAGTGAGGTGACGACGCCAAGTCACGTAAGCCACTGGCCGGGTGCGGATGCTTCCTCCTCTGAAGCGCAGGATGTGTGCCCTAGCTAAGGAGCTTGTGCTGCCCCAAAGATATGTTTTTAATAGTGAGCCTTCTGAGGGGACAGGCAACAGGGCTACACCCCTGGAGAATATCTCACTTGATCCACTCCCACATGCCAGGACGCCCTCGAAGGCTCAATGGCGCTCACTCCGTTTCACTTGCACCATTCGCGCGCTCGCTCCTCTTCCAACTCAACGGCGCCCGATCGAGACGACGCTCTCCAAGATGAGGAGCGAGTGAACAGCAGCTCCCGATTGCTTCACTTGAGCTGTTCCACTGAAATATGCTAAAATAAGAGGAAACTAACAACAAAATTGACATAACGGCTAAGCCCGTTTCACATATACATAGTAAGAAATATCTCAGTGGCATTGAGATATCATTGAGATAGCTCAAATATCCCTCAAAAGCATGACACTAAATAGTAGTAAAGTGAAAAATGCAACGCCCTGGCAGATTCATGCAAATAACATTCCCCAAAAGAAATCTTCATCTCTTTATTAGGGTGAAGACACCACAAAACCCTTTTATACCCTTTTATTAAATCGGAGGTTTACGTCATAAGACTAAGACTGTGTCTAGATCAAAACTCCACACCATTTTCGTTTAAAATAACAAAATATGAATCAATTGAACCACACTAAAATAAATTATTCTTTAATAATGGCATTACCACACAGATCTACAAAAACAAAAAAATGGGAAATGACTCCAAAAGATAGATACTAATGCTCAGGCTCATGGGTAAACTTTTTAAATAATCCTCAGTGATTTGGAAAAACATCACAAGAAATAGATATTAAAAACAAACAAACAAACAACCTATACAGCATAGATAAAGCTATTGCTTATTTAAATGGCTTGCTTGCTATTTACTACCTTATAATTCTTCAAAGGCTTTGATTTTACTTTTACAAATGTTTATACAGACACTGGCATAAGCAATCCCATTTATTTTAAAAGCAATGCTCACATAAATGATTTTAAACTATTTTTCCCCCCTTGAAAACACCCATTTGTTTACCGTTTACACTCAAGCCCTTTGCCAAAAAAACAACAACAAAAAAAGGCACGTTCATACCTCAGAGAACAATTATTAGAAGACTCAATACAGGCAGCCTCAAGCGACTGCCATAGGAAGCTATAAATCTGCCCGACATTTGAAAATGACTGAAATATATAGTGCCAGTTTTCAGGGGAAAACAGACAGCTATATTTTACAACTTCCTTGTCAGGAAGGTTTTATACATCAGCTCTAATGAAATACGATTTGTTGATACAGAATTTTTCACTAAGCTGGTGCCAAAGTTTGAGACAATCATCAGAAGTCAGACTTTTATTCTGTTTTCTAGCATACACAAGACTCCCAAAATTCTGCTTTTTAAGTTTTTACTGTAGATTTGTTGCCCAGCAAGGTTTTTTAACTAAGTAGTAGATAATTAATTGCAAGAAGATTGTTTTGTAGTTAGTAACTTCTTAATATGGTTAAACAAAATTTAGTAAATAGACTTAATTATAGCATTATTCTTCCTCCCTCTGAAGATATATACAAATAATACTTCCCACCCACTGAACATATTTGCAACCTTCTTAAATATTAGGCTCTTTTTGGGAACAAGCTGTTAACACAGGGGCATTTCACAGCAAAAAAAAGTTGAAAAGAGCACATGATACTGAGCAATAAGAAAAAAATATGTACTGAAGGAAGAGATTTGCTTTCCTCTTCTACCAACAGTTGGGGGCGGCTCTTAAAAATGTTTAAAACAAGGCAAAATTGGAGGTTTGTATAGAAGTTTGTGGACTTACAAAGCGCTGGGCCTTCTGGCGCTCCTCTTCGGTGGCCGCTCGCTCCCGGAGAACGGCCCGAGCCAGGTGCTCGTTGGAGGCCGCCCGCTCGCGCTCCAGGAGTTTGCCCAACTCGTCGCGCACGTACGTCTGCTCCTGCTTCAACCTAGGGGAGACGGAGGGAAGCTGAGGTGGAAAGTCTGTGCCAAATGCAGTCTGGAAGGACACAAGCATGATCCATTTGAAGATGGTCACTCTAAGCCGTTCAGACCATTTGCTACAGAATGCCTGAGGTTTGTTTTCAGTTTTCAATTAAAGCATCAAAAGTCAGGATGCGAGTTCAACAAGGATTAACAACATTACACGCAAAATATCTTTAAAGAGCAAAAATATGCAGGGAGGCCAATCTGCTTGGAAAGGCTGGTTTTGTTTTGAGGAGCTCTTCTGGAAAAGATTTTCTGCCCCCTACCCAGGCAATAACTAGACATCTAATTCAAGCTCCAAATTTGTTCCCTTCTGCAATGGGATAACACTTCCTCATGTTTGGATATACCATAAACCCAAATAACACACCTAGTCACCAAGTAAAAAGAACCAAACACCCATAAGAAACCTTTCCAGCGATTTGAGATCATCACACAGAGATATTGAACCTCTTGCAGCAGAGTTTAACACACACAGCTCCGGCCGCAGGAAATTCACAACACAGATACAGCACCTTAAACCATACATTTCCTAGAAACTCTTAGAATAGATAGGGTGTTCTTATATAAAACACTAATTTTCTTGAAAATATACACAAACATGTTAGGTTGTTTAGCTAATAAAATGCATCTACTGCACGTGTGTTGTGACACTGAGCACAAAGTCAACACTGGAGAGCTCAGAATCATAATGGAAATATCAAACACAAGTTTTCAAATAGATATTTCAAAAAGCGAAGGAGGGGAAGCTTAAGTATTCTCAGTGCATTTGTATGCTGTCAAGGGAGCTTCAAGGAACAAATCATAATGAGGAGGGTCACTTTGTAAAAGGTACTTGCATTACAGTACATTAGATTCTCCTCCAGGGAAAATATTTAAGTGGGGAGGGGATGGAAGAGACAATTACAACATGTATTACTTTGCGCTCAGACACAACCCCTTGAAATGCAGCAACCAACTGGGAGTCTTTATAAAAAGTTTATTAAGCAGCATCTTCAATTACTCCAGGAAAAAAAAAAAAAAAGATTATGCAGACATGGACCAAATTCCATTAAGTGATTTCCCAAGGTCCCCCAAATTATTCCAGCAGCATCGATATATCAAAGCCTTCACGCAATCAATGGTGCAGTCAAAACACACTGGTTATCTCTGCAACTGGAGGAAAATTGTTTTGCCCAGAAAGTGTCAAAATAGGAGTCTCCGCAGCTCTTCCATGCGAGACGCAGCAGAAGCAGCATCCGGCACTTCCCGAGGCTGGAGCAGGCTCCTTCACCACCCTTTTTGGCTTATTCTCAAGGGTATTTTTCCCCTAAAAGTCTGCCTCTGCTTTATGCACATTGTAATTAAATCATGCGAAATTGGGTACTGCCTGAAAAGGCTGCCAGTTTTTCCACATAATAAACTCTCCAAAATTAAAAAGGCTCCAGTACTTACCTCTAATTCTCAAACTATTCCCACGTTTGACATTAGCTCCGTTAACGTTTCGAGTCTGCTCTCCCTCTTGTCCCTAGAATTACGCACCTCAATGTGGTCTCCTCTCAACCCCTCTCCCAAAGAGAGATCAGCTCCTCTAACACTTAAAAATAATGGGCTCTAACATCGGGATACACCATTTGACGGGTTTAAGAAACCTTTCCTCGGAAACCCTGACAGATCAGAGAGACTCTTGAGACTGTCATAGCTGCTCCAGGTTTGAACATAGGTCCTTAGAGCATCACATTCAAAATAAAACTTTAAGGTGAACATGGAACATCCACAGAATCAGAGAAAGTTCTGGTGGAAGAGACCCCTGGAAATGGCTTGGTTCAACCTCGTGCTCAAAGCAGGCCCAACTTCCAAAATCCCACCAGGTTACTCAGAGTGAAAACTGCTGGTTCAGGCAGCTCTCCCAGTAAAACTCACTCCTGTCCTAGGCCCAGGGCCTCGTCTCTAACCCACCTGAACAGAAGTCACCAGTTTCCAGGCTCTGCCGCCACAGGAGGCCCCGTCCTCCTGCTGCCTGCGCGCTGGCTGCGGCTGCCCCTCTAGAGCTTCGTTGTACAAACACACGTCAAAAAACAAAACACCTTCCACAACATATTATCAACGCATTTTCAAACGTAATGTTCCTCGATAGGAAAAATACTACCTTTTATCCCGTTCCTTTTATCCTTTAATAATATCCTTTTATACTTTAATAATACCCTTTATCAGTGTGATCCAAGCAGCAGGTTGCCAGCCCCATTCTCTCTACAGCTCTTCCTAAAAGAAATAGGGGAACGTCACAGCAAGCAGAAATATTGCCTAAAACCACCACGTTTCTCTCTGTGAGCACATAGGCTCCAAGAAGCTCATGTTGCTAAAGCCCATGACAGGCGAGGGAGCTGGAACCATAATCTTGCCCTTGGAGAGCTACATTTAGTGCTCCTGCCACAGCAGGAGATGAAAAGATGAGGAAAGGACATCAAAAACTGGCATCCTGACCCTACCTTTTATATGTATATCTATATCTATATATCTCCAGACCATATCCATATATATATATATATACACACACACAGACACAGAGGTCTATATGTCAATCTCCAGTTCATGTTCTTCAAAAACATCCATAACTGCTTGGCTTTTTACATGTGCCTTAAAAAAAAAAAAAAAGTTATTTTTACTATCCACTCTGATGCAAATTCGTGCGATGAGAAATGTATCTCTCACCATATCTACATAATAAAATGTACGGCAGCACTAAACTTCCTGAAGCACACGCTAGACATCTACATTTAAGGCAAGCTTTACTCATAAGAATAGCCTTAATGCCCACGTCAACTGATTAAAATTCACCAGAGTTTTATCAAAACTGCTAGGATTCTGAAGTAATTTTCACTTATTTGAGTTCCATAATTGGGTGGCTTGTAAGAGCTTAACGAAATAAACAGCAGGCAGCTACGCTTCAGTATTTCAAACATTGGCTTGCATCAACTTACAGTAGTTTTCTTCCTCAACATCACAAATTCACTTTACTGGGATTCAGCGCGTACTGCAGACGAAGGAAGGCAAACAGCAGCTAGATCTTCAATAATAAATTATATAATCACCCAACCAAAAGAAAAATCCAGATCTGCAATTTATTATCAGGTACAGAGTTATACAGCACAACTGGTCAGCTTAGTCCACTCCATATAACTCCATGGAAAAAAAGATATAAGTTCCATAAGAATTCCCATATAAATAAGCCGTTTACAATGGCAACTTGAATTACAGAAAAATTAAAGGTTCAGTATAATGGTCCCCCCTTTTAAGCACAAAACCCTAGGTAATAGACAAGAGATATTACACATAACACTGAAATAAGCCTTGTGCCTTATAAGAGGAGCAGAAACAGCAGACAGGGCTATACATTTTTCTATAAAGTTGACAGCCTGAACTAAAAATACACAAAATACTTAGGAATCATTATTTCAGAAACCATTCAGCTGCCCAGTTGCACTCTCTGGCTCGGGGCCGTAAAGCATGCAGGAGGATTACCTTTCCACAGTGCACACCTAACCTGCTAACACAAATCTCCACACACTGAGCTCAGAACAAACACGTCACAGTATTTTATGTTCTATACTGTTTTATAGCACACAAACACATTCACAAAAGCAACTACTGCCCTTCTACAGCACTGTTTTTAAGGGCTCCAAAGACCTTCAGCTGATGCTTTGAAGAAAGTTTATTCTTGTCCTCTCTTGCACTTTTTGCACTTCAGCTAATACATACCCTAAGTCCCTTAGCCTTTAATCACCCCTCAAGCATCTGGCCCTTTGAAATTCTGTATTTTAATTTCTTTGACCCATACTTTACTTACTTGATATATGTTTCTGGTTTATTAAATGGAAAGCACAGTCCACAGCTCTAACTATGGCATCCCACAACTCACACAGTATAGTGTTTTGCATAGTACTTATTTATTAATTTCTTATTTTAATACCATATTTTAGTAGTAATATCAAAATAAATACGCATTTCCATTTAGCTACAGATCTATCTACCAAAGGAATTAAATAAAATCAGTAAATATTTTAAAAGCCGAGTAGCAACAAAAAAAGAAATTGTAAATCTGTTGTTAATGTGAACACCAGAGTGAAAAAGATGCGTTTCCCTTCCTGAATTTTTCCTTTGGACCATTTAAGTACCATTCACTGGAACATCAACACATTCCAGCATGGAAGCAGGAAACACTCTGGAAATGTCAATGACTGCTAGTTACTCCAGTTAATACATTTCTTTTAACTAGGAGATTTCCAAACAACAAATTCAAGGCAGTTCCCTCCGTGCCCCGGAAACCTGTCTTCAGCATGCACCAAATCTGTGCATATTAGTTCTGAAATAGAAAAATGCTTGGAAAACTCCATGTTTTTCTCTGTGTTAAGATGCAGGGATCCTTTCGTTAGGAACGTGTTAACAGGAGCCTGTTTTCCAAGGGAAAAGCTCAGTCATCTACTAGATAGGGTTGTCCTAGATAATATATCAAAGCTACGAGATGTAGAAATACTTCTGTCAGAAGCAAACAAGTTGTACTTGTTAAAATCAGCAGCTTTTTAAAAAATTACTACTATTATTTTAATGATAGTCCTGCAACCATCTCTGTTAAAACTGAGAAAATAGAAAGAAATAAACAACAAAAAAATCTGTTTTCAGAAGTTAATCTGACCCATGTCAGACATATGGTCAGTTTTCCATATTTAAAGAAATCCAGTTGCCTCTCCAAAATAAATATTTTTTTAAAAAAAAGCATTCTGAAGGAAAAAAAGACTTCCATCTTTTTCAGAACTGTATTTTTAATGAGTTGGAGAGAACAATTGTTACTTATTGCATGTAAGTTTATGATGCAGTGCAGGTATCCTGCATTGCATGAACCATATTAGTCACACTATGAAGGTGATTAGCTTTTAACTTTCAATTCAGATCTGAAACCTTTATTTAGCAACACACAGCAAAATGT